CACGAAGGCATCCTCCCCTTAGAAAGAGAACCCTAGTTTGCTTTGCAATAATCAACTAAACCAAACCAATTATGACTCACAGTTCAAAATACCTCTAATATATTAAAAATATACCAAGTTTATGAAATGAATTTAGTTACATAATGTGAATGTGCCTAATTTCTTATTAACAGTTTCAGATATATACATACCTTAAAATTTATGATATACTGAGATTTATAATAGCCTGAGATATCTCAATAATTACTTTTGTAAAAATTAAGTAAGTTTAATTAATAAACTGATCACTAAAATTTTGAAATTCTGTAATAAATACAATTTTTTAAAATAATAAATGATAATTAAGTAAGTAATAAATGAAGGTCCCATTTTGGCAAACGTGCTCTGAAATGAAAATATATTTGAAAGCATAAGATTGTGTATGCAAAATAAAGTGCAACTCATTAGCCAATGGTCTTGTATTTATCTTTTTCTATCATCGGCTGCTCTAGGAAACTTTTGCTTCAGCAGAATTCAAATGCCTACATGCCAGAAAGAATATGACATTCACGCCTTCTCTGAGATTTGATACATGAAACTGAACTAGGTTGAGGTGACAAATTCTGTTTGACTATTAGGATTATCTGGGTTACTTGTAGAAGGCTGACTGCTATCTTGGGGTTTAGATGAATCAAGATGACAACCTTTTTTTACTAGTTACATATTTAGTAGCATTTTTTGGAAGTTTTCTTCTGGCAATTTTAGAAAACCTTTAGGAATACCTTCAGATTTTCTTCATTACTACCAGAAAAAGTATCTGGTTTCCTTTTAAGATGCAAGATTTCATTACTTTGTGTACTTAATTTATCTATTGTCAGGAAGTGTAGCCTGCTATAGAAATAAAAACCCATTCCTTTCATTGCATAACATTAAGAGTTCTCCCCCCTTTTTTTTTTTGTTAAATATTTTTGGCAGTTTTCAAAGGTGAATTTATGCAAAGATCAATCTATGGAGTAGATTTGTCGAGCCATACATAGTATCCCTTGATTAATGATTCCATACTCTGATCCAATTCTTGTACTACCACTTTGATAGTTTCAATATCTATATAATTCAGTAGTATTCTTCAGTAAATGAAGTATCTATCTTGTTATGAAGTATTCACGCACAGGCTCATTCCAATCAATCTTTCCAAATGGAACAACATCACTCGCTGGCCTTCTAAGGCTGAAACCTGAATGTATGATATATACAAGGTATGTCTTATGAATGTGTACAATTATGATTTTTATGAAGGGTACACTTTTAAACTGAATACTTTGCATAATAAGCATTGAGCAAGTTTTTAATTACACAAGTATTATTGGGGGCACATGTATGAATACAAGTCATTTGCAAAATGACACCACAATAGTCTCAATATCACAGCTTAAAAACAGAAAATAAGTCCATAACTGTTTCAAAGAAAAATGTAAAAATACAATGCAAAAATTTATTCCATCATAACAAAAATGTGCCCACCAGTGCTTGAGCAGTAAAGTTGCTCAAAGCTGGTAGTTTGACCTGACTGCAATTCTAGGTAAACAGATTGGCTGCATGTGTAATGAGGATACGAGTGAGTGTCTTTTAGAAAGTCCTCTATGAAAGCATGCTTCTGCTTATGCAAATAGCTCTCACATACTTTGCCATAAACAAATCATGCAGACCAAGCCAAATCAAATTAAAATAAAAATGAAAATCACAATAAAATAAGTCAAACTATTACTAAATAAGTAAATTAAAAAGTATGTAATTTGAGTTTAGCTGTAATTCTGTAAAATGTCCTATGCATTATATTTTTTTTTTTTTTTTTCAAGAAGGGGGCAATTAGCTAATCTAGAATCAATATTATTGTTAAACATATTAGTTGAATAACTGTATTGCTCTTACATGAGTAACAGATTTTACATGTTTCATTATTTACATGCCTTACTATTTACATAGCTTACAGGTGTTAAATGCCTCATTTTGTTTTTATTTGGTAAAAAAGGGGGATAATAAATTTCATTGCAAAACATTTTGATAGGTAGTTATGTATATGACTTATGATATGAACTCTATATTCAACTATCATATAAATACTATTCCTAATATACATAAAATTTAATTTTTATTTGCCTCTATAGTCAACCCTCTAAGGTATAATATAGCATGGCTTAAGTAATAATTTTCGCAATACAATGTATTGTGGAATGTGAAACATGAATACAGAAACATATTAAGTGCAAAGAACATAGAGAATAAAATGCCATTTTAATCATAGATATTTACAAGAAATAATGCTTGATATTTATCAGAATTGTTCAGATGAACTGTTACTAACTGCAATACATGCATCACAATGACAAAGAAGTGATTGGCATATACTTTGAAAGCTATTCAGCAAGTCTCTGCTGCAGTGATGCTAATTGGCTGACAAGGTCTGCAGTAGAATCAATCTCTGTTTCGTAAACAAGATCCACTGTCATTGTAATGCATGAAGTTTGCATTATCTATTTGTACAATTCATTTATAATAATTCTCAAATATCTTGCTGTAATCATAAACAATTACCAAGGACTTCAGTTTACTTAATTAAATTAAATAAATCATGAAGGAAATACTGCAAAATTTTCACTATCACATTCTGTAAGTTGGAGATGATTTATATTTATGACAATTAAAATAAAAAATGAAACAAACTATTTTTAGTTTATTCTTATAGCATTTAAATCCACTTTTATTAACTGCATACAGCATTATTTTATGACATCAGGAAATATTAATTTATTAAAATTTATTGAGACTTCTCAGTTCATAATGCATTATATATATATAAAATACTATAAAGATGAGGAAATGTTTAATGCAAATTACTCTTTCCATTACATAATGCATGTAACTAAATATGTGTTTAAATACTACAAAATATGTATCCTTCTAGCAGGTTTAATGAAATTTTTATATTTATACTGCAGTTAAAAAATGAAATACAATACCATTGCATTTTGTCGAATTTTGAACAATTAAGACTTGAGAGCATTACCATGTCTAACAGCACACAAATTTATCGCATACATATTTCTAAAAAGTTATTATTATTTCTAATTCGTACAATAAATACTAAAAATATTAAATGTGCTATAAACTAAATATCAGACTGAGGCTACAAATGTCCCAGAAGAAATATACTGCAAATATGTTTAGTGTGAGAACTTTAAGTCTGTTTAAGCCAGATATTTCTAGCAACTGTGAAGCAACTTATCTTAGCAACTTATTTTATTGCAGTACGATATGAAAGCACACATTGCAAGAAAGAAAGTACAAGAAAATGTTTATAGATTACTTGCAATCAATGCACATAAAATAAATACTAAAAAGCTATAGAATAAACCATGTTTGAACATCGATGAGTACAGGGAAGCATAACAAAGCAAATGAAAACAGAAAATAAAGCATTAAATAAATATTTACAGGTGCAAGACACTTATTTTTACATATATTATCAATATTTTATATTTTATTCAATTATGTGCTATTTCTAATTTAATACTCTTTGCTTGATAAGCAAACAGCAAACATAATAATATTTTCCGAATACGTATCCCGATCTGCTGCTACGGATAATCCCTTAGCAGGGAAAAAGTATCACGCTGTCCTCCTAGAAGAAGTACGTCATCGGATGACAACCATAACGTGGTCTACCATAATAAGTTTTTTCTCCCAGTTTTAGCGTTAAGGCTGTTCTCCGTACCTTATCCTACCGCAAATTGGGAATAAGCAAGAATGAAGCAAGCTGAAAGAAATAAACGGTGAAAGCTGTCATACCCAGTCATAAAAAGCATCAATGCAGATAATAAATTTAAGTTTAGTTCGATATTAACCGTCTGTAATTAAAAGCGCAACAGTTTTTAATATGTACATACAATAATGATTCCATTGCATAATACCTCATAACTCTGGAAATTAATCCAAGGAAAGAAAATATACTTAATTCACAATTCTTAATCCGGTATATATAAATTATTAATTGCAAAATCTGTAATATTAGTAACTTAAAAGACCTTCTGTGAAGCTTTAACCTCTTTAGTTTCAATGAAAATGAGATCTCTGAATCTACTCCTATCATTTAGACATTTATGGAAACTTAGGTCAGGATGTTTAGATCTTTTTGATGTACAATGAGATAAGTAGCCAAGGCTACATCGAACTGGGCCACTACAGATGCACAACAATAAGTACTACGTATTGTTATGTGCCCTTCTCATAAAATTACAAGAACAAGCCTTCAGAATTTGTATCAACAGCTCCAAACTTGTCTTCAAAACGGTCAGCCTTTTTGCGCTGCTCGTCTTAACGCTAATTTTGTTTCAGTCGCCTCTAAAAGCATTTTGCTACAGTTGTGAAAGGAAATGTAACTGAAAACTGCATTTCAAAACATCTATGAAAAATTCATGTAATTTTTAATTGCTGCAAGTCGAATTTTCTCTTTGACAAGAAAAAAACTAAATAGTTTCATAATTTATTTATTCATTCAAATTTGCGATAATATGAGTTTCAAATTTGTGATACGTATTACTATACAAGCAAACAGTAAGATAGTATTAAAATTCTGGATTACTTCTTCTATTTTTAAGCTACAATTTTTAATCAAGTTTTTAATACATAACATTAGAGGGCAGTTTAAATTCAGAGATATTCCTTATTATTATCTCTAATTTTAGTGTTATTTCAATTTAAATGGGACATAATTTTGTATTTATTCTAAAAGAAAAGTTGCATTTTCTGTAGAAAGACGTGTTGTATCATAAGTATATATGCTGAGTACAGTTCATTTTGTTTGCATTTCAATTTATAGAAGTTAAAGAATTTTTTTTTTTGCTGTTCTTAAATGAAATTCCTTTAATACTATTTCGAAATATGATTTTGAAAGTACGATTTTTTTCTATTTGCATGCGAGACAGCTTGAATGAAAAACGGCAACCCTTTTCTGGAAGTAGTCCCACGTAGACTGGAAAGACCAGAGACTGCCGAGAAAGAAACCTGCTGGGTTTGGTTTTGCCTTCTAGAGGATCCAAACCCAAACAGTGCTCGCTTTGAGATTTCGAGGACAACTACCTCAGCTAAGTAACGTAGTGTAGACAGCTGTGTTCGTGACATTTGTATATCAAAAGTTGGATTTTTAGAAAATGTAGTTCTCAGAATGGCACTAAATCAATCGGAAGTTTAAGCCCAGCTGACAGTGAATGTCTAAAGTAAGTTTTAAATACTATTGACATTTCATCATTAACCCTAAAGGTATAGGCGTATGGAATCAGGTTAAGATTGTTTTCTTGCTCGTTATATACAGTGTTGAAAACTATTCATCAGCTTTTATTATTAACTTCATTGAAACCTTTTAAATTGTTAGTAAACTGTAGTTTAGCATTGTAGCGTAATGTTAAAAATCGTTCAAATAATAGAGAAATAGTTTTATTATGATTCTGCATTTACAATTACCTCATACATTTCTTGAACATTAATTCTAAGAAAACTAGTTGAATGTGTTTTCTTTTCAAGTGTAGATTGTTAAAAAAAATTCGTTATGCAGATACGCATCAATTTTTTAGCATGATACTTTAAAACCCAATGTGTAAGAACTTTTGTAAACAAAGCAAACGCAAACTCCATTAATTTGTTTGGAACATTTATGCGTGTTATGTTCTCGGCAATTTCGAGGATTTATATTAACAAAATCATTTATTTTTTACAATACAATATTGATTTGGTTAATATATATATGTTTACAATGTTTCTCTGTCAACATTTATAATGCATTGAATCTGTATTTCAGAGGCTTTCTTAAATGAATTATGATCGTAAAATTATAGAAAAATTGGTGGAATATTTTTTTGAATCCAAACAAATATTTGTATTCATTAGTTCTTCATTGTTTTATTTATTTATTTATTTATTAATTTACCATTGAAGGAAGTTTTTGTGTGACGTAAGAAATTTAAAATTCACGCCTTAGTAATATAATTTTTTATTTTGTTGGTATTTATTAACATAGATGAGATTACATTTATTAATGCTGTAGTAAGTAATTATCATCACATGTATGCATGAAAAAAATTTAAGAGTGTAATACATTTAAAGAAGCTAGGATTTCTATTATTCTTACAAAAATAGAAATGTCAAAATTAAATATTTAGGTATTTGTCAAGTATGCAGTAGCATGGAACAACAACCTAACAATTAGATAGCTTTTTAATATTTGTTTAATGTTTGTGGAATTTATGTTCAATTTTGAAAAGATTTATTTTAATCTTTTAAGCTTTGGTAAATATAAACAAAATGTATTCTAGCATTTAATTTTAAAAATGCACATAATAAAATAAAAATTCAAGATATGAATACAAAGTAACTGATGTGCATCTGAAATCCACAGTGCTTGCACAATGCTGAATATTTTTCAGTAGAATGCAAGATAAGAGTTTTGATGTATGAAACCAGGAAGGAAATAGTAACTTCCACTGAGCTGAGAGTCACAACTTCCTTCAACATTGTTTGTCATAAAGTAGTGAATATTTTATATAAATTTAAGTATATTAATTGCATATTTTAAAGATTTTTTTTTCTGGATTTAGAATATAGTTATGTAATACTGTTGAATGTTCTGAATTATTACAGAATTTATATATTTTTTGCATGATTACGTTATTTAGATTTAGGTGACCAATGAATTTTTCCACATTGTTTTTTAAATGGGCATATTAAGTTCAAAATCGATTTGTTTTTATTTTTATCAAAGGAGTGTGTAATTATTGTAAGAATGCTTGTCTTTATAAGGTATTTTTTCCTCCCCAGAATTTTATTTCATCAGTAGCATGTGGATGCCACTTACTCCACTTGATGGGATGGTAGTAATTAGCATATTTGATTTGAGACAAAGTCTACCATTTGATCCGTCTGATGACTACAGTTAGATCTTTTCATGAAGCTTTGTAAGTTTAAAAAATTTTGTCCTTGCATAGTTGTGATAACATATAGTTTTTTTTTTTTTAAAGATATTTAAGAAAAATTTGAAGTTTATGTTTTAGTGTAATATTTTTGAAATATAATTAGCATAACCATTCATCATTTAGTATTATATAAGAACTTAAATAATGAAGTCTTTTTACTGTATACTTATAAATTAAAAATAGTAAAATTGAAAAAAAATTGTGCAGAAAGTATTTTGCTTTTTTAAAAATAACTTTTTTGTCTATTTAAAGATTAAATTTATATATATATATATATACATACTAATTTATAATTTTTAAATGATCAAGATATATTCCTATAATTACAAGTAGTTGGTTCTGGCATACTGTTCAGCATCACATGTGATGCAAATAGAGTAAACTTTATCCTTTTTTATGACACATTATTAAGACAAATAGAATAAATTTTGTAAAAAATAATGTAAGAAGATAGTACATGGCTTATATTTTGAATACAAATGCAGTTTATTTCATGCGGAGAAGATTTATGCTTACCATTCTACAAAACTTTAATTACCCAAAGAATTTATATAGTATTAATAAACAATACTTATTGCTTTATTATCCATTATCAGCATCTTACAAATCTGGTGTTGTATAAAAACTATATTGGACGTGTAGTTTTATATTTTCTCTTCCTGGGGCCAACAATGTTGTCTAACTTCATTTTTAAGAAATTTTAGAGAAACTTCATTGCTCTGTACTTTTGTGACCTTTCTAATATGTAGTAAATATTTATTATAACATGCAAATAGCAATTTCGGTGCTTCCTATTATGGCAGTCCCTGAAGTTGAATTGCTTAGCAACCAAGATATCTCGTATCTCGCCATGTGTTCTTTCCAATCTCTCAAAATCTTGCCATTGCATTTCCATTGGTTTGCATTTTTGCATTGGTTTTTTTAAAAATATTCCATGCTTTTTCGTAAATATGCAGTTAACAATCTTTAATTTGCCAAATGTAGAGGTGAATGTCATAATTATTTCAAAAAAGAGGTTTAATACCTTATATATCCTTGAGCAGAGGAGCTGTTGTCAATCAAATGGTATGACAAACAGCTTAATATGTATGAAAATGTTGCAGTTGATGGGAACAATTTTATGCGGGAAGTGTGTTCCTTACATTTGATAATAAAACTGAGTTGGCATTTCAGGTTAACTGTTTAATGAAATATGACTCATTATATTTTCTTTTGCATTTTATTTTCAGTAATTGTAACTGATTGCACCAGCAGTTCAGTAAATGATAGATTACAGAATAAATGTTTTCAATTTTAATTAGTTTTGTACATACTAATTGCTGTTTACTAAATAGCATTATTTCTTTCAGACTGTATTGATTTCATAAATTTTTATTATATTAGAAAATGTCTTTAATTCAGATTTGGTATCAAAGACACACTGTAAAATTTCTGTAAATAAATCTAATAACTATTAAAGCTCTCTGGAGAATAAAATGGATAATCTTTGGATTATGGTAACTTGGCGATTTTTTGGCGACCAACCCTGCTACAGCAACCTGCTAGTTTTGTTTTGGACACCATTTTGTTTTCAAGAAGTAAAGGAAATGGTTGATCTTTACATTATGGTAACTTGGCGTTTTTTTGGCGAAAATTTGCCGACCAACTCTCCTACACCAACCCTCTATTTTTTTCCCCGCCGCCATTTTGTCTTCACGAAGTAAAGACATGTTTCTTTTCATCTACTGAACACTTCTTCCAACAATCTACTAGCCGAATTACACTTATGCTAGAAATTTTTATCTAACAACTGCTTAATCATGAAATATTCACTGCAAAATTGGGAAAAAGTGCACAATACCATACTCCTTACGCGTTTTTTCAAAATAACACATACACATAAACCATGTACACGCCGACTTATTTTTACTTAAAAAAACATCCCAGAATTACACAAAAATGGCATTGCGCACACTCTTCACTATAAATCCATGTACACTGCTTTTTTTCTCATAAATTACAAAATTTTTCACGAAAATACATGACAATTTTCTGAATCTTAAACCCGGTAAAGAACATATATGAAATTACCTGATCGCGAAAAAGTTTATCCCTTTTCAAATATGAACATTTCCACATATAAATAAATAAAATATCCAAAAACTTTTACCTCTAAATCATCTATTATATTATACACGTCACCAACGAATTCATACCGCAAGCATTACAAATACTTATGTCAAATATTTAAATTATTTCCATGCACGTTTACTTCAACTTAAATGTATACCAAATTCCTACAAACATAAAATTCATAAAATAACTATCATTTAATTAAATATCACTAAGCATGTACACGTCGACTTAATTTTTACTTACAAAAAAAAAACATCCCAGAAATTGCACAAAAATGGCATTGCGCACACTCTTCTCTTCACTATATCCATGTACACTGCTTTTTTCTCATAATTAGAAAAATTTCACGAAAATGCATAACAATTTTCTGAATCTTTAAACCCGTAAAAAGAACATATATGAAATTACCTGATCGCGAAAAAGTACATACCCTTTCCAAATATGAACATTTCCCCGTATAAAATAAATAAAATATCCAAAAACTTTTACCTCTACATTATCTATTATATTACAAACGTCACTAACTAATTCATACCTTTACTTCATTACAAATGGTTACAAATACTTAGTGTCAAATATTTAAATTATTTCCATGCACCTTTACGTAAATTACTTTCCTTCCACCTTACATTTAGAACACAATGCATAAAAATAATATCCTCAAATAATTAAAAGTACTAACTTACCTATTCTTCTTCAGAATCTTGATTACGTGTTCGATAAACTTTTCTTATTTCTGTTTCAGGATCTTTAAAATCATACTTATAGTTCACAGCAAGGTACCAGGTAATATAAATACTTAATAAAACATCTTACTTCTATCTCGCACAACCTTAAAGAAACACTTATTACTACCTACTACCACCCCTTTCAATCCACTAAATACCCATTTCGAATTCACTTTAGTTAGGGCCATGGGATCCAAAAATTACGAACACTGTTTCACACAACACAGAATAAGCCAAATACAAAATTTCCAGATTTTTTCCCCTTTCCCCCCCTTTTCTGATTAAAGAACCGTAATTCGTCCATTAATATCACATGGCATATCCCATGATCTCTCATTTCCCTCACACAAAATAATGCGTAATCGGAACTGAGTACTGCTCACATTATTACCAAAGTCCCAGGTAGTAACCTTTATCGCCTGCAAAATGTCGCCAAACTACCAGTTACCAAAATTCTAAAGATCAGACCTCGCTAAAATAAACTAACATAACAGCAATAAATTTCAAACAATACCGTGTTCACAACGTTCTGTTTTAACTCAAAAAAAAAAAAAAAAAAAAAAAAATAGCGAATTGCCGAATCTAGGCAACGCGCACAGCCTCGGCATTGTGCACAAATTAACAAAATAAACTAAAATAAATTACAAACAATTCAAAAAACAACAATAATGTCAAATTCATAACAAAAAAAAATTAACATAACATTCTAGAAAATAAGAACAACAATAAAATAATATGCATGAATGCTTCTTCAAACAGCAGAAATATCGATTTTAAACATCGGCAAAACTCGTCATCAATTTTCACCACTTCATGGTGCCTGACATATATATATGTCATGCACCATACAGAGGGCTAACACAAAACGTTTTGCTGTCTGAACTTTTGCCTAAAATCTGCTCTCCTGTGCCTGTCCTAAATTCTAAAAATTTTGCCATCTCCAAACTTTTCTACTCGGTGCTTCATTGAATTCTAAAAATTCTCCCATGCCAGTTCTGGCCATCTGTCATTTCATATTTATTCTTAGTGCTCATTTTACTAAAGGGATAAAATCAGCAGTTTCTTCTTCTTCTTCAGTGGCCAGACAGCGCAGGATGGGCCCTTGCCTTCCTCAGAATTGAATTCCATGCTCTTCTATCCCTGGTCGTGGACATCCAATTGGTTATTTTTAAAATTCTTAAGTCTGTTTCCAAATAGTCGAGCCACCTAAGTTTAGGTCTCCCTCTTTTTCGGGTGCCGAATGGTCTGGCTGAGAAGATCTTTTTAGTTAATTGATTTTCATCCATTCTGCGCTGGGTCTTGCTATTCATTCTCAGAATCCTTATATTTTACTATATCTATTTCTTTAAGATTTATAGATTCAGAGTTAGTTGTCTCCAGATGTTACATTTTATGCTACCAAAACGCTTCTCAAATTTTCTTCAAAGACAGAAATAATATTTCTAATTTTTTTCTGTCATCGCCCAGGTGTCAGCAGAGTATGTAAGAATGGGTCTGATTAAGCTTTTGTAAATTAAAATCTTCGTTTTTCTGCTAATGAAGTTAGACTTCAAGTACAGTCAAAAGTCGTTAATCCGGACACCCATAATCCGGAATGATCTATAATCCGGACCTCAAAGCTACAAACTTTCTGCGCATGCGTCAACGCATACGCATAATATTTTTATGCATGCGCATAATACGTTTACGCATGCACGTTTAATGTATAACGGATGGTATAAGCTAAGCTCTAATTATTTATTTCAGTTAATGTTGCAGGTTGCGTTGTTCCTTAATCTTCAAATTGGATCCGGCTTATTATTTTTTGCAGACTGTTAGAGCAATTTTATAAAAGTAAGCTTGAACTTTAGATTATGCCAAATAGAATTTTAAAGGATCTACAAAGCGGAAGTAGGTTTCGATGTCCATCAAACAAAAAGTGGAATTGCTGCAAAAAATGGATAAAGGCATATCCTTTGTTTCTCTAACCATTCCGAAATCTGTTTATCAATTTCACGCTGCTCTGCGGTGGGGGGGGGACGCCACAACGCGCAATGAATTGGAAGCTGATCTGTCAGCACTACCCTTATCTTCAGGGCAGATGCTTTTATTTTATTTGGCTTATAATTTCGAACGAATGAAGCAACTTAAACAACTTAC